GAGCTCACTTTGGAAATTCCTGAAGATCAAATGACCGGGTAAAATGAAAGAACAAAATACCAGACACTGAGGTGCTCACTCAGACTGGCAAGCCAAACATCAATGCCATAGTGAGACTGTCAGAATGGAGTCAAGCTGGTCAAATAGCCAGAATGCTTGATGCTCACTTATTCAAGGCAAATCTTTTATGAACAGCTTGAGCTTGAAGTGCACTCTTTAGGCTGCCAAAAAAGTTCTACAAGGACACTCCACAGATTTTGCCTGGGAGCTCTAATATCAACTCTACGTCCTGGAAGGTGCACCCTGTGGATTGCTGCAGCTGGTGTAACCAAATTTTTTTTAAAAATTTCGGCATGGCCTCCTTTGAAAGTAAGTGCATATTGGAGAAATCACTTTTAGCAATCAACAAACATGCAAGTTCCAAAACATATTTACTACTCAAATTTCATGTTAGCAATGTGTGTCCGTGGCAAGACACTTGTTTTTGCTGTTTCTTTTTATTTGTGACAACTCACTTTTATTGCAACTACTTTTCTCTTTTTCTGAATTTAATTGCACACTCGCAAACCAAGAAGCTGAATGTGTATGACTTTCCCTTTTTCAAATACTCTAAATTTACACTGAAGGGTTTCAGACTGATGTAACCATGTTCAAGATTGCCATTTTTCTTTTGCAAACAACAAGTTGTAATTTGCTCGGCCTTCTGTCATTTTGTTTGCAACAATGCAGACTCCAAACAAAAGGTATAGGTATGATTATGAAGGAGACTAATAATATGCAAATAGTACATGGAGTTGGAGTGGGGGAGGAAATGGAGAGAAATGCTGCAAGAGGAAATCCTGGGCTAGCAACTTGTCCAAAACTCAATCACCTGCGGTACCCAGTCTTAACTGTATCAGAATGTTGAGGATGCAGACTGACCTCAGCAGTCACCCACATATCTATCAGAACTTTACCAAACAGTCCAAATGATGAACATGGTCACCATTACTTCAAAGGATACACAAAGCAACCAGTTGGCAGTCAACTGCTTTTGTATTGGAATTCTACATAAATGTAAATCAATTCTTAACAGCACTAATGGGCAGCCCATGTTCAAAATTCACGGAACAAAGATATATCTTCTACATTACCTTCTTTCCCAGTTACCACTTTGCAATATAGGTATTTAAATTTTTATGCTAATTGTTGTGTATGTAAATAATATAACTAAAAACTTTAACTCTTGACCTGGTGGCATAAATTATTTCCAACTTCCCAGCTTGTGTGATAAACCTGTTATGTTACAGTTGAGAGTGTCTGCTTTGGTTAAAACTGCATTATTTTTTCCTGGTTTTTAATCTGAAACCCAAGTGGACCTCCACAGTGTTCTAGTTTTCAGTTGGCTCAACAAATTGGTTTTGGAACTGACTTTCAGCCAAGAATCAATATTTAAAGACGCAAATGTCAGATTTTAAATAAAGGGTGTGTTTTGGGAATTGAAAGAAAGAACAAACTTGCTTATCCATATTGCCTCATTGTGTCACCAGGCCATTTGCAAAGTATTTAACATCAAATCAATTACATCTTACAAGCTGTTAGTGCTTTTGTGTGGGCAATTATGCACAGCAGAAACTCAGAAATACAAACTGAATGAATAAGCAGTCAAACTACATATCTGAAAATCAGTCAACTGGATTGGGTTTTTCTAAAGCCAATATCATGGCCCTTTGAACCTCAAAATCCAAAACATAGAGAATTGTTGAAACTTCACTCACATTGCTCCACCCTGTGGTTGGGAGGCGGGGGTGGGGAAGTGGAAAATAAGGTGGAATGGTAAATGCTCATCATCTTAGACCAATTCAGGCTGTTCTGTTGCCACTTCAGTGTCTCTTCCTGTCGCCGTTGGTATTTTATATGGGAGCCTCTAAGACAGCTTTGTGGGGTGGTTCCTCCTGTGGACCCACTCTCCAACCTTGCAGCAACAGCCACCTCCCTAGGAAAGCTCCCTCTGTCTCCATGATCAACACTCTCCCTACGGCCTATCATCACACCCGCTCCCCACTTGCAGGCTTTGCCTGATTATCTCCAATGATCCCTGACCTCACTTATCTTTACCTCGTCACTGGCCTGGGAACTACTGCAGTCCAGGAGTACAACTGCTCCCATTGGTCCTGCGGGGACCTAAGACAAGCCAGCTCCCTGATTGGCTAGCAGCTGTTGCATGTGCGACATTCTTCCTCAGGAGAACTGAAGAGACAACCCCTGGCAACTACTTGCCTGAATATAAAATTCACTTATGATTTCCAAGGCTCCCAGCTGGTGAGCAGAGTCACCTCTTCCATGTGAAATCCTGTTCACTGTTTCTACATTTATGGAAGAGCAAAACTACAAATCACCAACGTAAGGTAGTTAGCAATGCAAATCAACGAGGGAATTTGGAAGAAACCTCTTTAAACTACTCCTTACTATAACAAGGAGTAGTTAAGATGAATGGTATGGATGCTAGAGAAGCCTGGTGAAAAATAAAAGTACAGGTTATGCTGAAAGAGTTTGATGAGGAAGTCAGAAGAAGCCATCAATGGAGCATTAATACAAACATGGACAGGCTGAGACAGGAGGCCTGTTTCTGTGCAATACATTCTGTATAATCTATGTAAAAACTCCACCTTCCCACACAATGTCATGTTCATTCTTGACTGGCCCTCCCAAAGGCTTGCATTTAAAAAAAAACAGATTCTCATCTACAAACGACTCAGGTCCTCAACTGACTATACCTTGGTTTCCTTACATCAAATAAAGAATTGGGATGTGGTGGGGGGAAGCAGACAGCATTTTCAGGATGGCAACCTGCAACTAGTGGACGGCCACAGTGATCAAAGCTGGGGCCATTATGAATTACATTATATATTAAGAGGTGGGAAGGCAAGGGGGAAGGATGACAAAAAAATAGTCTACAGAGGATTAAGTAAGTGGGCAAAACTTTGGCAGATGGAATTTAATGTGGGAAAATGTCAGGTCATGTATTTTGGCAGGAAGAATGGAAGAGCTGAATATTATTTTGATGAAGAAACACTGCAGAAAGCTACAGCACCAAGAGATTTGGGGATTCTTGTGCATAAATCACAAAAAAACTAACACACAACTTCAGCAGCTATTTTTGAAGGCACCTGGAATGGTGGCCTTGGTTTCAAAGGGAATAAGAGTACAAAAGGAAACAAGCAGCCTTTCTCGAAACCTAGTTCTAAAGCAAATCTCGTATTTGACTGAAAATTTAACCAAGTCTCTATACGCCAACCTCATATTACTGAGCCTTCAACAATGTTAAGAATGATTCTAAAATCCTGCCTTGGCAAACTAAACCTGCTGGAATTTGAGCTCCTACAGAAAATAACCTTCAATATACACTAACTTTCTGGACTGACAATTACCAAACTTAATAGCCATGTCTCCTTTTTTTAAGTTATTCTTAAATGTATGTTTTTTTTCTTTTTTTTCCTTGCATGCTTTTACGTGTTGTGATAATCATCTTCCGCAGTTTTGAATATATAATTAAACTATATGCTTGCTTTACCCTAAAGAGAATTTGTCGTGAATCATTATAGAAATTGTCCATGTTTGTATTAATGCTCCATTGAAGGCTTCTTCTGACTTCCTCATCAAACTCTTTCAGCATAACCTCTACTTTTTTTTTCACCAGGCTTCTCTAGCATCCATACCATTCATCTTAACTACTCCTTGTTATAGTAAGCAGTAGGGTAAAGAAGTTTTGGGGAAGCATTCCACAGCCTGTTTTAAAATGGAGAAAAAAAATTAACTACCGGGTTACTTTCCTTGGAGCGTTGAAGCTGAGGGGTGACCTTATAGAGGTTTATAAAATCATGAGGGTCATGGATAGGGTAAATAGGCAAGGTCTTTTCCCCAGGGCGGGGGAGTCCAAAACTAGAGGGCATGGGTTTAAGGTGAGAGGGAAAAGATATGAAAGGGACCTAAGGGCTGCTTTTTCACGCAGAGGGTGGTATGTGTATGGAATGAGCTGCCAGAGGAAGTGGTGGAGGCTGGTACAATTACAACATTTAAACACCAGGATCCTGGGACAGGCCAAGCAGAGACAAGCACAGGAATTCTTAGAGGCCTGGTTCTCCACTAAGAAGGCCATCAACAAACACATAGGGCTAGACCCTATATATACTCCACTGCAAAGGAAAACCGGCAGCGAGGTAACCCAGCTCAACGGACTCCAGAGTTTAAATAACAGGCGGGAAAACACAACAGTGCTTCATTGGAGACTGATAATGTTACCCAGCAGGGTAATGAAACATCTGTGGAACAACAAACCAGCTCGGGGAGCCAACCAACCAACCACAACATCCACAAGCCGAACTACAAATCTACTCAAAAACGTTGGAAACATTTAAAAGTCATCTGGATGAATACATGAATAGGAAGGGTTTAGAGGGATATGGGCCAAATGCTGGCAAGTTGGACTAGATTTATGTAGGATATCTGGTTGGCATGGATGAGTTGGACTGACGGGTTTGTTTCCATGCTATATGATTCTATGACTCTGCTTTCTGCCAGGTGGGCAGCGCAATAAAACAGCTCAATTTGTTTCTCTCTCCTGCCTGTAACAATTACCCTTGGACCTGTGACTCTGTTCTGCTTTCAGCGAGGCATCTTTCATTTACCTATGACATACATTCCAAACTTTTTGTTCCTCTCCATCTCTGTTGCACTTTTAAAAACACACCTTTTGCATCAAGCATTGGGTCATTCTTTGCCCGTCCAGAATAGGGTTTACTCTTACAGTCCGAACTTTGGAGCGCCCTAGGACGTGTTCCTCTTGTGAGAAAGGTACTGCACAAACGCAGATTTTTATTTATACAGCTGTCATTTCTAGACATAAGCATTACGAAATTAACGATTAGCTTGAGGGAAAGTCCGTTTCAATGCACGAGTTTTGTGCCCCTCACTTCACCCTCTGATTTAGAGTGTCCACTGTACAGACCCATTTCTCTCACCTGCCAGCAGATGTAGTGGGGCGGTCGAACTGCCTGGGAGTGATCTGCACACTGGACTGGAAGGTCGGGTGCAGGCTGTTGTGCCCTTCCGTTTGGCGATAGTAGTAGAAAGGATCGCCAGCGGACAGTTGATCGACCTCCATGGCTTAAATCGGGGGGATAGAGTGGGTGGGTGGGGGGAGAATAAGTCTTCTTTAAATTAAAAGGTGCAATGGAACAGGGCCGAGGCAAATGGGGAAACGACGCGGCCTCTGGCTCCCTGTACCAAGGAGACGGGACACATCCAGGTTTGATGGTATTGGCCAATGCGGGGGTATGACGGCAAATCCATGACAATGAGTCTGATTCACAACCTCAATAATCGGCGGCGGCGGCGGCAGGAGGAGGAGGAGGAGCCGCATCTTCTGGCAGCAGCTGCTACCTGGGGAAGGAGTGACTTCAACCCCTCAGTGGTTCCCGCCCCAGCCTGCCTTCCCAACGAGCTCAGTCAGTCACAACTGGAGTCAGCATCCGACAGCGAGGGAAGCCGTTCGGCCCATCGTCCCGCCTTTTGTTTTCAGAGCAACCCTCCGCGCTGTCTACTGACTCTCGCTGTTTGGGAGCCACCTCGTGATATCAGCCCTTTTAAAACAAAAAGAACGTCATGCTTTCAGCTTGCAACTTAATGTACGGCGTTCTTAATGGACCTGATCGATATCATTTCCTGCCTTGTACATCTTTCCACGAAATGCCTCTTGACCGGTTAGAGGTTTAGGTCGGTTATTGACCAAACGGATTGCGAAGGGATTTGAAAGGTTTCAAGAAACGGGACAAAGCATGACAACCGGATCTTCACGTGGATGAGTGTGAGGTAAAAGGCATTGGTGCAGAAATAGGAGCAGAGTAGTTCCAAATCGTCCCTACTTCTTATCATCCATTAAGGTCATGGTTAAATTTTTAAGATTGATTCAGTTTTCCTACCAAATCTCCAAATCCTTTGATTCTCTTAGTATCCAGAGTCTATCAATCTCAGTGTTGACCATACTTATGACATGCACAGCCCTTTGCGTTTAGAGAATTACAGATTCACAACACTCTCAGTGAAGAAATTTCTAATCTTCTGCTGGTCACACTTGTGTCCTGAATCTCTGATCCCTATTTCCTGACACTAAACAAGGGAAACAGCCTGATAGCATTTACTTTCTCAAGCTCTCTAAATCCTTTTAGGCCCATATCTCCCAACGATGGTGAATGCTAAGAGGTTTGCTGTTATTGAGTGTTGCAGATTTGCACTAGAACCCCACACTTCTGTCTTAGGAGGAAAGTCTCCATAGGAGTACTCGTAGACAGTTCTCCAGGACCTGAAACTTTTGCCCGTACTTTCTAGTTTCATGAAAGCATTTATTAGCATTTGAAGCCAGCTTGGAATGCAGCTCTTTAAATTAGGAGTATCAAAGGACACCAGACCTCTCCTACCTTCATCCCTGCCCTGCACTGCTTACCTCTCTCAAAACTGCTTAGCTACTGGAGGGGATTAAGCAATGTCAGGAGTAGCTTGAGCAGCATCAGGGCTACAGAAGGAGGATTGACAGTATCAAGGGGGAGTGAGTGAAGCAATGACAGGAGAGCAATAATGGGTGACCAGTGATAGGAATGGAGTGAGCAGTTTTGAGGATGACAGAGTGGGGGAATTAGAATTAAAAGCTGTTAAGAAGTCCATTTAAAAATAGTAAAATTTCCTCAACTGAATGCATATCTCAAGGGATCTGTCCTCAACTCCCGATATGAGAGTGGATGTCGACATGATGTTGTTGGAATTGCGCATCTCCTAGGCCTCGCTGATCGATGACTTAAGACTGCAGCTTCAAAAGCTAAGAACACACGGCAGGCACTTTCATCCTAGGAATCAGTGGAAAACATAGAATGCATATATAGTGAATTTGCAAAAGCACCACTGCACACTGATACATTCCAGACTGTCTCCCAATGAAGGAACACCAGGAAAAACCAGGGAGGGTTACAGACAGAAACTTGCTTTATAGGCAAAATTAGTGAAAGTCAAAATAAAGTTATAATAATACAATGATCAAAAGAAGCAACCAGTTGAGACATAAACCACTGCAGCCTATATTTCCAGTTATAATTGCCATTTTGAACAGAATAACTTGAAACAGGCTGGCTTGTAGCCCAATGTGATGTTTATGACCAAATATCAGCTGTGTTGGTTCTTTAACCATAAATTTAAGATGTAGAATCAGAAGTAGGCCATTCAGCCCTTTGAGATATCTGCCATTCAATGACATCAAGGCTGAACTGATTATCCTAAATTCTACTGCCCTGCCATTTCCCCATAACCCTTGTTACCCTTACTGATTAAAAATCTGCCTACCTCAGCCTTGAATATACTTAATGACACAGCCTCAACAGTGGTCTGTGGTAAAGAACTCCACAAATTCACTACTTCTGAGAGAAGAAATTCCTCCTTGTGTCTGTCTTAAAAAGGTGACTTATTCTGAGATTATGTCCTCTGGTCTTGCACTCTTCCATAGGGGGAAACAACCTTTCCACATTTACCTGTCAAGGCACCTAAGAACCTTGTATGTTTCAAAAAGGTTGCCTTTCATTCTTCTAAATTACAATGAATACAGGCCCAACCTACTCAATGTCTTCTTATAGGACACTTCCTTTATACATGGGATCGGCCTATTGAGCTGTCTTTGGACTGCCTCCAATGACAGTCTATCTCCCCTTATACATGGCCTAAACATGGGGAGGTGATGGCCTAGTGGTATTATCATCAGGCTATTAATCCAGAGACCCTGGTAATGCCCTGGGTACCCATGTTTGAATCCTGCAGATGGTAGAATTTGAATTCAATGAAAAAAAATTTAGAATTAAGAGCCTAATGATGAGCACAAATCCATTGTTAATAGTTTAAAAATGTTCACTAATGTCCTTTAGGGAAGGAAACTTCCATCCTTACCTGGTCTGGCCTACATATGACTCCAGGTCCACTGCAATGTGGTTGACTCTTAGCAATTGGAGATGGGTATTAAATGCTGGCCCAGACAGCAACACCCACATCTCAGGAATGAATAAATAAAACAAAAAATGTTCACAATAATTCATCTGTGTTCTGATCAGGGCCTTGTATAGTTTTAGCAAGCCTTCCCAATTTTAGATTCCATTCCCTTTGAAGTAAAGACCAACATTCCATTTACCTTCCCTGTTACCTGCTGAACTTGGATGCTAGGTGTTTGAGACTTACGCGAAGATTCCTAATTACCTCTGTGCTGTAGCTTTCTGCAGTCTTTCTCCATTTAAATAATATTCAGCTTCTCTACTCTTCCCGCCAAAGTGCATAACCTCACACTGTGCTGGATGCTGAGGAACTTGGAAAATGGAGGAAGTCTCCTGAGGAAGAAGAGAACGACATTGGGGAAAAGGAAGATGTCTTTTTCCATGACAAAACTCAGCTGCGTCAGGTGCTACAAAACAGCCAGAGGCTCATTGACATCTACTTCCAATAGATGTGAGCAGAATATTGTGAAATGTAAAATATTCATTGGTAATGATGTAGAAGTCTGCTTGGTATTATTGGGACAAATTTTAATCTTCATGTGGTCTGTCTATATTCACGTTTGCTTCTGTAAATAAAAGCTTGAGCTTGGATTTGTCCGATTTTTTCCTCTATGTAATGTTCCTGTATCGGATGATTACAAGCTGCAGGTATACGGTGGATATTGATGACAGGGTAGCACTGATTTAGAGGGTGTTCAGATGGTATATAGCTATGGAAAGTTAAAGTTTGTGGTGCGGTAATCGAAGCCCGAGGACTGATCCTTGTGGCACATGATGAGTTACATCTTTCCAACCTGAAAATGACCCATTCCATCAACTCTTTTTATTCTCTGTACTTATCAACCCTCAATCCACACTAATACATTACCTCCAATACTGTGAGCTAATACCTTTTATGTGGCACCCTATTGCATAAGTTCTAAAAATCCAAATACACTCCATCTACTGATTCCCTTTTGTCAACTCTGCTTGTTATGTATCAAATAACTAGCAAATTTGTCAAACACAGTCTCCCTTTCCTAAATCCATGTTGACTGCCTATCTAAATGTCCCCATTTCTTGTCAGTGTGATATGGCTATACCTCTAGATGGCATGCAGGAGGAGAGAATATCGTAATGTTCCAGTTTGTAATTCAGCGCTGGGTTGCAGCAGCCAAGGACCGGATCATGGTGGCTGGTTTAGATCGAAAGCTGGTTCAGGTGCCTGAATGTATGTGCACTTAATGCAAGCAGAAACTAAAATTGATGTTATTGAGCAGGAAGCTCAAGAATGTACTCGTATAGCAAGAGAAACAGCGCATTGAAGATGAATGTACTAGTTGGGCTGAAGATACGATTCCAGCATCTATAGTAGAAGTGGAAGTCAGCAGTATAACTGGTATGACTTCAGTGATACAGCCATAGCAGCTTCTGTTATCTTAGAAGAAGAGTACAAGAAATCCTTAATTCATATTCCCTTATGCAAAACAAAAACTAATGTGAAACTAATTAGTTATTCCAGTATTAAGTCAAGTTAGTTATGGTGGAATATCATGATGCACCCTATTACTAGTTATTAGTAGTTGCAGGGATCAAGGTCTCCCTGACATGAAAAAAGTGGCTTAACGTATGGTTAAACTGGGCTGAACTGTTTACAGATCAGGATGAGTACCTCTGACACTGAAAAGGTGCTGAGTGCATAAAGTGGTCTTTAAGCAAGAAGGATCAATTATAAAATTAGACTTCACAAAGGAAAGGTCAAGATAAAAAAAACACGTACAGTCAATAATTTGTAAGGCTAGGCTAATGCCTTATTCGCAGTTAAAAATAGTAAGCAAACAGCTGGATAGATTGGAACAACCTGGAACAATTGAAACAGGAGCAGTTAACCAGCAAAGAACAATGAATGGGCAATACCATTTTGATTGTTCAAAACTCAGTTAGGTCATTTCAGATTTGTGAAATGGTCATTAAAGTGACTGAGAATGATACCCATTGCTCAGCAGTAAAGTCTTGTTTTCCATTTTAGCAAACGGAAAGGCGTTCAGTAGGATAGAAATATTGAATACATACTTGCAATTAAAGTTAACTGACAAGAGCAAGGAACTGCTTACCAATCATATACACCAAATATTATACCACTTTGAAATGTTGCCTTATGGCGTATGTGCTGTTCTGACCCTGTTCTGGAACATCATGGATTGGGCGCTACATGGGATGAAAGGAGTGGGCTACTTTTTAGATGAAATTCTAACTCATAGGGAGACAAAGAAAGAGCACATTGTAAGGTTGAACAAAGTTCTAGATTGATGTCAGAAGTATGACATCAAGGCTAAAAAGCACAAATGATACTTCGTGGTGTCAATTACCATATCTACCCGACACAGGTGAAAGCTGAAGTGATCTTAGAA